AAGACTTGAAAAMTTTCAATTAGTTTACTTTTTCTTTCGCGATCTGCATGTGTACGTTTGGAATTTATTCTTATTTCTATGTTTTTTCTGCAGGCTATTCGACATGAAGCCTTCACGCACATGGAYGGTGAGAAAGAATTTGTACAGATAGATTCCAATGACTTGTATCCCTATCTTCTTGTAAACGTTGGATCTGGTGTTAGTATAATCAAGGTATTTTTTTACGGTTCCTACTTCTTCCACAAACTGTTGTGTGTTGTGGCCCTAACAGTAACTTTTTAAAGTACAGGTTGATGGGGAAGGAAAGTTTGAACGTGTGAGTGGGACTAATGTTGGCGGTGGTACCTATTGGGGCTTAGGYAAACTTCTAACGAAGTGCAAGAGGTTACTATGGATCTGATTTTGATTTTTGCACTACTTCTTAAAATTATTTGTTTCCTATATTTTACAATGTTTTCTTCTGTTTTAGTTTTGATGAATTGCTAGAACTCAGCCAAAAGYGAGATAATAGTACCATTGACATGCTTGTTGGTGATATTTATGGTGGCATGGATTACTCCAAGGTATGAGTCTACTTTTCATCAGACTACATCTGATCTCATTCATTGAAGGATGTGGCTGCTTATGATAAACTAGAATGCTTTATCACGACGATTCTAGTGATTCTCAGTAATCAATTATACAGATTGGCCTCTCTGCTTCAACAATAGCTTCTAGTTTTGGCAAGYCGATCTCTGAAAATAAGGAACTGGAAGATTACAGACCTGAAGATATTTCCCTATCTCTTTTGCGGATGATTTCATACAATATTGGGCAGGTATGTTGTTTGCGTGTCCAAAGATTTTAAGGAAAAGTTCTTGAGCAAAGTAAATCCAACTTTTTTTTTTCCTCATTATATAATCACAAGATGCCATTTGGGATATTTGATCACTGTATGCGATTAAGCACTTGATATGTTTTCTGATTTGTGTGTTGCCTATGTAGATATCATATTTGAATGCCCTTCGCTTTGGGTTGAAGCGAATATTTTTTGGAGGATTTTTCATAAGGGGTCATGCATATACCATGGACACAATTTCGTTTGCTGTACACTTCTGGTAAGTTCATTTGTAAACTTGGATCTAAACGTGTGATATGCGTCCTCCACTTTTTATCATAACTTTTTTAAATTTATTGTTTGATCACACTAGGTCAAAAGGAGAGATGCAAGCTATGTTCTTGAGGCATGAAGGTTTTTTGGGTGCTCTGGGTGCGTTCATGAGCTACGAGAAGCACGGCTTGGATGATTTAATGTCCCATCAGTTGGTTGAGAGGTTCCCAATGGGTGCACCATACACTGGCGGAAATATTCACGGACCACCACTCGGTGATTTGAACGAGAAGGTAATCACTAATCAGTTTTGCTTACAACCAAACTCTCAAATTGTTCTATTTGGTACTCTGAAACTGAAGCCACAGATTCCGTAATGACGTTGTACTTGCTCAAAATATTAAAGTGGGGGAATAGATACCGTTTATACCTTGTGCTGGGTAAAGTGTGCACTGCGTACCATTATAGTATTCTTTAGGCAATACCATTATAGAATGTGCTGTTCTTGAAACTGGATAATAAATAATTTTGGCTGAATTTTACGGCCGAAGGAGATGATCAGATACGTTGAGACTATTAAAGTGCACTAGTACTTGTTCCTTTCCATGGCTTGTGTGCTTAATAATTGATTGGATACTCAAATCATTCGCCATGTAGATTAGTCTTTTAGAGTCTGGTTTAGAGCTTTGCATTGCTAGGTATGTCTTATATATATAAGTTATCCAACAAATCAAAGACGTGTGCAATTTGAATTTCTTATTCTCTATTTTTATTTGTCCTCGTAGCAGTAAGAATAAACATGTGCGCATATACTTGTAGGGATATTATTTGCTGTGAAGTATGCTGA